TGTTATATCATAATAATTTTACTCAGGAATAAAAATAAAAGCTGTTCCACACAATTTGTGTAGGGAACACATAAAGGAATTCATTTATTAACTCATTGGTTTTTAAAAATTAAAGTTGATTGAACATATTAAAAAATATATTTTTTATGTGAGTGTTTGCCCTTTTTACAAGATGAAAACCATTGTTTTTTTCACATTTGCCATTTAATTTTTTTTATTTTTTTACTCATATTACTATTTTCTGTTTTCTAAAATCATCAAAGTATCACATTTATTGTATTCTATTGAAAGCCCTGTCCGCTTTATAAGTGTGACGCCACGCGAAGTGGCTTTCAGGTCCAAGCGTTATATAAAAACTGTATGGGGAGACTCAACAAATGGTAATAATAAACGTTAACAAAACGATGTAATACTTTTGAAAATCACAATCGCAATATATAATTATCCATGCCTAATATCCAATGGCTAAAAAGTGATACATTTTTTAAATAAATTATTAAAGTATTGGTGTCTGTGATGCAGTATTTCATGTCACTAATACGTCACGACTTGAGAAGCATATATATTTTTTGAGGTGAATAAATGTAACATTACTCATACAGTGAGTAGAAAACTTACACTGTAATCTTGATCTCTTCAGACATTTTTGTGAAGGAATAGTTTAATAGTATAAATTACAATTCTGTCATTTACTAATAATCCACTCATTTCAATTTATTTCTTCTGTCAAACACAAAGGAATATATACTGAAGAATGTTGAGCAGTGCAGAGTATTTTTTGTTGCTAATAAGGATGTCAATAGCTGCTGTTTTCCAAAATTCTTCAGAATATCTTGTTTTTGTGTTGAACAATAAGAAAGGGCCTCATAAAAGTTTAGAACTTGAGTGCGAGTAAATGATGAGAGCATTTTGGGTGAACGATCACATTAATATAAATACAGTATTTGCTTTGGCTTCCAAACGATGACCAATTATGCCATAATTCTTTTTATGTCACACTGAGATACATCTGTAAAGGCTCTCTGTATTTTTGTAAAACGGTTATCAAAACAAGCACCAAAATAGTTTGAAACCCCCTGTTTAATGCATTCAGAAAATGAGTTTGTTGCTTGTTCAAACTTCTCATATAAAATGAGCTGAATTAACAGTTCTTTAGAATTTTTTTGCGACAACTTAAATGTTTTATGTTGAAATCACTTAAATTTGCTACGGTAACTTAATCGATTTGCGTTGGGACAACATGAATGTGCATTTTTTACAGTGTAGAAACCAAGATGAAGAGAAAATGTTAATGAAGGGGGAAGGGTAGAGGCCAGAGACCTCCGCAGACGTTTGATTTCACTGTCAGATTTGGATCGTGAACTTTTCGCTTGAATAAATTTAAACTAATATTAAGGACACTTAAATTTCCAGTGTACAATAAGCAGAACAAGGGCCAAATAGCGGAAATGGTTTGAGGCAGAAAACCCACACAAACAGGCCCGGTAGGAGGAGAAGAACATTTGCTAGCGCAGACTAGATAGGGTGATAGATTAAGCACTGTGCCACCCTCTGAAGCAGGTATCATCATTCAGAGTGGCAGGCGTTCGGTGAGCACTATAGGACTACCTGCTGAGGATCCTGCAGTAATACAGCTGCTCCACATAACCATAATCTACACTCCCAATGCCAAGGAAAAGAGAAAGAAGCACGCAACGAGTTTGTCAGACAAAACAGAAAGTCCCAAGAATTACATACAACATTTACCAAGCGCGGAAACTGGAGTAATGTGAATAGTGAAAATAATTACTGCGAAAAAAAGAGAAAGATGGAGGTCTGTTGCTCTCAATCTTGTAGCGAAGCTGTGAAACAGATGCTAGCAGAAGCATTAACAAAAGAGAGGAGCTTCTGACCGCGAGCCCCTGCGCTTTGGCAAGTCCTAGAGGTAATAATGGTTAGCAACCTGAAAAATGTTCTTATCTGAAAAAAAGCCCCAGACAGTAATAAATGAAATAATTGTACTAAACACATTAATCCATGTCGGCGGCCCCAGGGGGAGGGTCTGTGAGTGTTAGAGGTAGTGAATGGCACTAACCTGCCAACAAAAAGAGTCTCTCTCTCTCTCTGGTTCTCTCTCTCGCTCTCCTCCTCGACCCTCTGCAAACAGTGTATTTTTTGCCCTGCCTTTCGGGAGGCAGGGGTCGTTATTAATCTTGCTGGCTTGCTTAGCTTCAGGCATCACAGCAGGGCAGCATCTGGGAGTGTGTGTGTGTGTGTGTGTGCGCGATGAGAGTGTCTGAGCCAGGATATGGATAATGCATGGGCAAAGACTGTGTATGTGTTTATGTGTGTGTGTGTGTGTGTGGTAGTCAGAATGAGGCAGGCCAAGCATCTTAAGTCATGTGCATCTCTTAATGGATGTGTTTAAATGTAAATTACACCAATGTGCATGCATTCTCACCACAGGATCAAGCGTCTGAGTGAAAATGAATATGACTTGGGACGTTTGACTATGATGAATCGTAAAAATATCTCATTTTACATGCATTCATGTGAATTAAAGTACTGATGTCCTAATAAAATACCACACAAGTAAAATTATTAAAGGGGTAGTTCACACAAAACTGAACATTCTGTCATCATTTACTGACCCTTGTCACGAATGCTTCACAAAGGAAGATCTTTTTGAAAAATGCTGAAAGCTGGTAACCATTGACTTGCATGGCATTTGTTTTTCCTACTATGGAAGTCAATGGTTAATGGTGTCTAACATTTTTCAACATATCTTTTGTGTTCAGCGTAAAGGAGAAACTAAGAGATGTATGGAACCGCTCGAGGGAGAAAAAACTGAGTAATGTTTTTTTTTTATTTTTGGACAATCCCTTATATTAACAAAGACTATAGAATTTCACTCGTATCTTTTTGAATATGGAAAATTGTAACGGTCAATATGGTGAATAAAGTCCCTCCTGTACAGGAGCCAAATCTCGATCTCTACATGGCGAATAAAGCCCTCCCCCTAGTACAGAAGCCAATCATCGATCACTATATGGCGAATAAAGCCCTCCTTTTAGTACAAGAGCCAATTATCGTGATCTCTATAGACTGACTAGAGTCGATTTCGACCTTTTGAAATGAAACTAAAGGGACAGTTGTTTAATTTTATTAGTGATTCCTAATATGATATTCAATCATAAGCTTGGCAAGCAGATTTGAAGAATATGATGTTTCTGCATTCAAACAGCAAAGGCCAGAGAGGTGTTTCAAAGATAGATGCAGAGTGAAATGACTTGCCCTAAAGGAACTTGCTATTAAGTACTGGTTTTCAATGTTATGGATTTAGGCACGTGATTGTCAGTTTTTGTGGACAGTTTTAAAAGTAAAAAATACTTATTGCTAATTTTTTTGATTTGCAAGAAAATTAAATTGAATTTTATTATCACTGATACTTTCGCGAATCCACCAGAGGCCGCTGTGTACGCTTTTTGAGATCTTAAAACTCATGCAAGTGCCATTCGAGCTTGTTGTTCTTGTAAATCTACTAGAGGCCGTTGTCGAACTGACTGACTGATTGACTGACCCACCCTACTCCCTACCTAAACCCAACCAATAGTGTTTTCAAAAGCATCAATTACCCGCACTCTCCCACTTCCCTAAACCCAACTGACAGTTTTAAAAAGCAATTCAGAAAAAGAAAATCTGCCTGTTTTTTAACCATGTTTTCAGATTTTACCACATTCTCACCCTGTTATTTACTTGTTTATATTTATGTTTGGCTTCTGCTTTTGTCTTACTTTCTGGAATCGTTCTTCGCTGGACTCGAACCCTGCTGTCATGGTAAACTCCTCTCTGCATCTCAAGTCCACTGACACACATGGCGAACTACTGGACAAACTGCTAACGGCAGGAAATATGGAGGTAAGCGGTCAGCTGGAAAGCTAAAAATTGAACAGCAGCCATACGTACTTCTGGCTAAATAATTTGCGATCTCCAATAATGTATATAGGGCTACATTTTCAGAATGAGCCCATGTTGCAAAATATTAAGTCAAACTTTGTATAACTTTAAAAAAAATACTTGAAACCTGATCAACTTATTAAAATATGTTAAGGCAACAGTAACATTTTTGTTGTTTTGACTTTTGTTGTAATTTTGTTTACAATGTACTCTGATTAAGTACAGATACCTAATAATGTACTCAAGTAGTTAAGTAAAAATACTCACATGCTGTTTGCCATTGCAAAAAATACTCACATGCTGTTTGCCATTGCATATTAGCTGGGAAAGTGGTTAAATTAAGAAATGAGTTGTGGATGATATGTAAATAGGGTAAATGCAAAAGTATGCTGAAGGACTTTATATTTTTATCAGTAACTTGGGTCAAACGCTTCTAGTGAACTGTATGTGTTTACAAAATCATTGTGTTTAAGGTCTGTTTTCTTTAAAAATCAATTCACTGCCTGATAGATATACGATATAAAATGGGTCTCAGAAAGTACAAGAAGCACTGCATTCAATTACATTTTCCGCCCTTGTCTTTAAAATATGAACATTTATTTTACCCCAGTATATTCAATAGAGTTTCTGCGCAAGCCCGCTGATCCTGACGGGCGCATGAGTGTAAACGGCGTTTCATCTTGTTTTACCCTTGAACAACTAAATGATTGCCGAAGTCTATTTCATGGATTGTATTTTATTAACATTACAACATCGATCCTGTAAAAGGAACCGTATACATTAACCATTCACCGGAAGTTTAAGAAGAAACAATTGTGACAGAGATATAATCAAGTTCTCTTAACACTTGACGGACATGATGGAAAGACAGATACTCAGTGGACACTAGTAAGAAAAGAGCATGATCCTCACAGCAAACATAGCCACTGGACATTTGGCCATGTATTTCACCATCACCATAAGTAAACTAGATTGTCAGTTACACTTTAATGCTAAGGTGCAAAAGGAAAACCTGTTTACATCTTTCCAAAATTAACATGGCAAATAAGTCCAGGAGGGTTTAGTTTTGTTCTTTTAGTTTGCTAGACCAAAAAAGAAAATGGTATAGTTGTGGTTTGCTTAGTGTTCTCACTATCTTTTTGATAATTAAATAAAGATTCCTTTGAAGAATCAGTTGAAAATCGTGTTTAAGAGCTTATAAAATGTGCAAAGGAGTCAAAACAGTAGCAGAGATTCCTGTCGCATGTTGTCACATGATCATTCTTTAAGTTCCTCTGCAAATATACACATTATAAACCTGTTTTTGTGTGTGTGAACACTAAGCAAACCAGCACTAAATGTATAATTTTCTTTTATGATCCAGACCAAACACAGGTAGAAAAAGCAGGTATGCCTGAGCATTCTTTCCCTTTTATGGGTACATCTTTTGACCTCATGTCCTGTTTTAGTGTAGATGTCTCTTTTGTTTTCATATTTTAGTTAAACTGCACCAGACCTGCTTTTAAAGATCTCTGTCTATGTGTTTCGTGTATTCAGTTCTTAGCATTTACTCTTATTCAAATGAAAGCATTAACAACGCATTAGGATACATTTGATTAAATGAAACCAGTAATACCTTTTCAAAATGATAATTTTAATGGTAAAATATAGTGAATTGCATTTTCTTTGTTGCTTTTGAACAGTGCCATCAACCAATCAATCAGTGTTGCCTTGATAGTTTTCCAGCCACTTTGTATTCATTAGTTTATATGACCAGTTTAGGTGATTGGCTGTGTACAAGTTCTACCATGGCTGCTCCCAAACTCACATACAACCCGTCTGTTTTGTAGGAAATAACAAAATGCTTCAAAATTGTGTTTGAGGTCATAAAATCTGAATGACTTATTATTTTCGGTGCATATAATGGACGCCATGAGGCCACAGCAGAGGATTTGTGAATGGCAGTGAAGTGACATAACTAGCTCTCATAGATCATGTGATATAACACAACATGGAAAATGCAGATCCAGATCATCTTCATACTGCATGCATCCAGACTTCAGAAGTAATCAGAAAAAGTACATACTCAAGCCGTAAGCAATTTTCAGCCATAGCCAATGAGAATCGCGGATGACAGCCGAGCAAGTGCCATTGAGATGCATGAGAATATCTCCAGGTATTATAATTGACCCTCTTTGTCTGAGCTTGATGCATGTACACTTGGCTGATTTGTGTTTCAGATTGATCACCGAACAGACTGCCATCACTCTCAAATGCATCGTTTACATTGTCTGTGCAATCAGTAAAAAAAAATGCATGAAGTAACCATGCGTAAACACACTTGTGCACTTTTCTGCTTGTGATCTGATCAGGCTGCTTTTCATGGACAGCGTGCATTTGCAGACGCACGTCTATTTGATGCATTCATCTGTAATGTCCCATCTAATTTGTATATCGCCAGCAAAAACCTGTAACTGGCCGAGAATGAACGGGATGCTTGAGAGAAACAGAATCTGACTCCAGTAATTCCTTGCAGCACAAGCAGAGGATGAAATAAAACACCCCGGGCTACACGGATGGTGTTGTGTTTCCAGACAGGCTGAGGCGGAAAAGATAGAGTTAAATATCATATCTAATAATCATGTTTTTAAAGGAAATCATATTAAGGTTGTTAAGAGGTGCAGCAGCAAATGTCAGAACCGTGTTAGTTTCACGCGCTCTCTGATAGATGCGAAGCGACGAGCCGAAGGCGCTCGCGCTGATTCCCAACTCGCACAGGGGTATTTCCGCAGACTGAGAACAAGAGAGGACGAGGAGAGCTGCGCCAATAAGCGAGCGAGGGAGGGGCCTCGCGAAGTCCTTTCAGCCAATGGCTGCGCCGTGATAGAAACACGACCCACGTGGGTCAAAAATCTTGTACTTATCAACGAACATGCATTCAATCCGCTCTAGCCAATCATCTCCGTCCGAAGTGTTAATCTCAACGCGGATTGGCTGGCAGTTTCATACAGTTCTTTATTCATCTCCGTTGTTAACTCATTCCTGCCACACGTTTTCGCTGTGACTGCCTCATGAAGCATTCCTCATCCAAGTCCCTTTTTGGGAAGCATTTTCTTGTCAGCAAAATAAATGGCCCGAAGTTTAGGTGCAAATTGTATATAAAACATCCATCCTCCTTTTATAATCTGCATCCATTAGGCCATAAACCATTAGCTTGATTACATTAGGATGAAATTTACATGGGTCCTGTTGATACGGATGTGTCGATTAGCCCACGCGCAAAATGAAATGTTCTTAAATAAACTGTCTGATTGAATAGACGGATGTGAGATCTAAAAATACCTCACTATTGAGGGGGAAGCATAGGTCTATTCTAGGTTGTAATAATAAGGCAACAGACCAAATTGTTGAGGGTAATGTTTAGCGCCAAACCTCCCTCGCGTTTTGACTATAAATTCAGCAGAGTCGTGGGAAAATGACCGCTCATTCCAAAAGGCGGATAAAATTGTGTAGCCTACAGTGATGAGTTTTAAAGGTGGGCTCTGTCGTTTGCTTATTTAACATTGTAAACTAAAATTAAACATTTTACCTAATTGTCTACGTTGTTTAAATGTTTTATAGTGACCCCTATTGGCCTGGATGCATGTAGTTCACTTGCAATTCATGCTTCATTGTTTTGTTGTGTGTTTTAATGCTTATGTTTAATAAAGTGGATGAAAGCACTATTTTGAGTAAACACAGTAACATTAGTAGCTGTGACGCAGTATGGTGGTGGCAGCCATTATGAAGCAACAAACACAATGTGGATGAGTGATATGACTGAAGTCTTCTTAGGTTGCTGCATGTCTTTTTAAAGTCATTTCCCAAAGTTGCTTTTTTTAAATTCTTTACATATAAAACTTAGTGAGCCTTTAATTGTTGATCAGCTGCTTGACTTCTGTTTCACACCTTTCTTTGACTGGAAGGTCCCGTTTGCAGAGGGAGGCTGTAAAACAAAGATTAAAAATAGTCAAGTGAGTATAATCCCATCATGCTCACAGTCACAGAGGCACCAGGTCTGACAAACCGAGCATTAATCTCTTATTTTCTTAAGAAGGGACTTTGGTCAGCCCTATCAGTCAACGTGCAAAGCAACAGTGACACCTAGAGGTTAGAGTAAGAGCTGAAGTCGATGGAAGGTGCTTTTTCAGTTTACCCCTCATGAATTATGCAGCGGACATACAATTTAGCTACTCCATGGTGGACGAGGAGGTCACCCACAGCCGCATGGCTACCACAGCTGTACAGTAAAGATCTGGTGGCATCTGCTGATTTGCTCTCAAACTTTTCATCTTTCAGATGACTCAGGCTAAATTTTCTATGGTTCACATGTGCAGTTCGCTTCCCTTGGTTTGCATTAAGTTCTGATTTGCTTAGAATTCACACTAAGACTGATCCTAGGTGTACAAAGACATTACAGAGAATTTGTGACAGAACCGAACAACCTGATGTGTGCTGAGCTGAACGCTCTCATTGTATGCGCCTACATCTGATGGTATTTTTATCAGTTGAGAATCCATGAAAGACATCTAAAATGGGTAAAAGGAGACAAAACAGAGACGGGGATTTCTCAGTCACACACAATGAAGAAGATGTAATCTTTTTATGGTTGCATTTTATGTCCTGTTTTTGATTTGTTTAGATGCCTTTGGTTTACATCAGAGATGCCCAAACTAGGGCCTGCTAGCCAAATCTGGCCCTTGATAACCTTTTCTTTGGCCCCCTATCCAGTCTTAGAGGAGAGGTAGCTTTTTTTTGGTAGTTTGTTTTATGGATGAGCTACAAAACAGCAAACTGAAATTAAATCTTTCAACTAAATGTAAATGAATCAGATTTAATAAATACAGTCACTGATGGATAGAAAACAATGCAGAAGACATTAGCTGAGGCAGGTGCAGCTTTACTAGTGTGTTCGGCATTGATCTCCATTTTGTTAAAAAAGGAATTATGTTTTAATTATAACAAGTTCATTAGAAAATGTCAAAAAAAGGGTCAGAATAAGGGTTGCATTTGATGGAAGGTGCTTTTTCAGTTTACCCCTCATGAATTATGCAGGAGACATACAATTTAGCTACTGCATGGTGGACGAGGATGTCATCCACAGCCGCATGGCTACCACAGCTGTACAGTAAAGCTCTGGTGGCATCTGCTCATTTGCTCTCAAGTTCTCCATCTTTTTTAGATGACTAAGGCTAAATTTTCTATGGCTCACACGTGCAGTTCGCTTCCTTTGGTTTGCACCAAAAATTGTAATTGTAATTGTGCAGTAAGTTCTGATTCGCTTAGAATTCACACCAAGACTGATGATCCTTGGCATACAAAGACATTACAGAGAATTTGTGACAGAACCGAACAACCAAAGTGATGTGTGCTGAGCTGAACGCTCTCATTGTATGTGCCTACATCTGATGGTATTTATATCAGTTGAGAATCCATGAACAACATCTAAAATGGGTAAAAGGAGACAAAACAGAGACGGGGATTTCTCAGTCACACAATGAAGAAGATCTAATCTTTTTATGGTTGCATTTTATGTCCTGTTTTTGGTTCGTTAAGATGTCTTTGGTTAACATCAGAGATGCCCATACTAGGGCCCGCCGGCCAAAGTTGGCCCTTGGTAACCTTTTGTTTGGTCCATCCAATCCTGAAAGAGAGGTAGCTTTTTTTGGTAGTTTGTTTTATTGTTGAGCTACAAAACATTAATTCATTCATTTTCCCTCAGCTTAGTCTCTTTAGTAATCTGGGATCAACACAGTAGAATGCACTCCCAATTTATCCAGCATAAACTTGAAGTCAGAAGTATTAGCCCCCTTGTTTATTTTTTTTCCCCAATTTCTGTTTATTGCAAAGAAGATTTTTTTTAGCACATTTCTAAACATAATTTTAAGAACTAAATAAAATAAAATAAAATAAAAATAAGACAAATTAGACTTTCTTCAGAAGAAAAAATATTATCAGACATACTGTGAAAACATCCTTGCTCTGTTAAACATCATTTGGGAAATATATAAAAAAAAAATCAAATGGGGCTAATAATTCTGACTTCAACTGTAAGTTTTATGCAGTGGATACCCTTCCAGCCGCAACCCAACACTGTGAAACACCCATATATACTTTTTCACACCCATAAACTAAGGCTAATTTAGCGGAATAAATTCACCTATAGCGCATGTCTTTGGACTGTGGAGGAAATAGGAGCACCCGGAGGAAACCTACTCGAACATCCAGCCGGGGCTCGAACCAGCGACCTTATGTTTGCATGGCGATCGTGCTTCCCAATGTGTCACTAGCTACAAAACAGCAAACTGAAATTAAATGTATCATCTAAATGTAAATGAATCAGATTTAATAAATACACTGTCTCTGATGGATAGAAGACAATGCAGAGGACATTAGCAGAGGCAGGTGCAGCTGTATTCGGCATTGATCTCATTCATTAATTTTCTTTTCGCCTTAGTCCAATTATCAAGGAGTCGCCACTGTGGAATGAATCACCAACTTATCCAGCACATGTTTATGCAGCAGATGCCCTTTCAGCTGCAACCCAACACCGGGAAACACCCACATACTCTTACACAAACTCACATTCACTACAGCCCATTTAGCTTATTCAATTCACCTGTAGCCCATGTCTTTGAACAATGGGGGAAACCGGAGCACCCGAAGGAAACACACAGCATTTTTTATATTCTGTTTAAAAAGAAATACTGTTTTTATTATAATAAGTTCATTTTAAAATGTAAAATAAAATTCTGTTGCATTATCTAATATAATTAAATCTAATTATAAATAATATGAAATAAATTAAGAAAATACCCTTGGCTACTTTAATATAATAAACACTTAACAAAAAATATTTTGCTACTTTTTACTTATGCAAAATGACTTAAACACATTTTTTTTTATTTTTTTGGGCCAACTTAATTGCTTTATGTTTAATACACTTAAATGTGTTAACTAATTCGATTTGGTTTGAGACAACCTGAATGAATTGTGTAGAACCCTGCATTTTTTTTTACAGTGCAGTTTGGTAGGCCTATATTTACCTTCAGCTCTCGGCCCTCAATCAAGTTTAGCCCTTAGTCAAAGTTTGGGCACCCCTGGTTTACATTAAACTGCATTAGAGTTTGTTTGAAAGCAAACCTTTTCAGTGCTTTCTGCCTGCTTTCTTGGTGCATTCACACAAACGAGCTCCGCTAACAGAACAAGTGCACCAGATATCCATTTAATCAAATCAGACCCACCAAGTGTAAACATAACCTTAATCCAAAGTGAATTATGCGAGAGAAAAATATAAGCAGAAGAGCTTAATGCGAGATTGAAAACAAATAAAAGTGATTCTCTTGTAAATTGTAATGATTCCAATGCGAACAATACCTCATTTCAGCCAAGTGCATAAAAAGGGATGGTTACATCTTCACTGAAATAAAATATTGTTGTTTTAATGACAGGATATAACAAGTTTACAAAACCAAAGGGCGCAGAATTCACAGTTGAGGAGATGAGGGTGGGAAAAAAAATGAGTATGGGGTGCAGAAAGGGCGACGAGCAGCAGAGAAGAAGGGGAAGAAAAGATCACAGGTTGAGGGGAGTGCGGGAGACGGGATAAAAATGAAAGGGATGATGAAGAGGCCGGGTAGAGTGAAGAAGGAGAGCTAGAAAGAGGAGTGTTACATATATTGGTGGTAGTGGGGATGGCAGGATTGCTCCCAACCGAGCAGGGGAATAGCAGCATTGCAGTTAATAGGGTAGAAAAAGCTGGGGGGCTGTTAACTCTGAAATGTTCATTTTTAAACTCAAGCTTTCCCCCCCCTCCTCCTTCCACCACCCTCCTTTTCTCTCTCTCTCTCTCTTCCTGACAATCGCGCTCCCTCCCCAGGCTGCGTAGTAATGATAGCTATTTGACTGCCATCAGAGGAGCTGGGTAATGGTCTCTAAAGAACCATTTCAGACTCAACCTGGCAGCGCTGGCCTCCCAAAAACATCTGCTTGCCTATCAAGAGGTACCACCGCACCAGACACATTACACACACGTAAGCACACTCATGCACACACTCATGCATGGACACGTACAATACTGTGCTGCATAGAGTCATGCCTGACTTAGGTAATGGACCACGGGAATACACTTGTGAGCTGAATACCAACAAAACTAAAAGAGGCGGTAATGGTGTTGTTTTGCTTAGGGTAGATGTTTCGAATGGGGACTGGGGGATGGAATTATAATAACGTCAAACAAATTTTGCAGTAATTAAATGTGGAAATGACATAAACGGATCCAGACAATGACTTCAGGGATTAGTAACTTGACAGTTCAGGTGTATGTGTGATCTATCTTTAATATGTTATTTACTTCATGTTCTCGTTTCCACCATGACTTCCCAAAATGCAAAATATGTTGCATTTTTCTTTGTTGTACATACTGTGGTTAATTTTTATAAGATTATATTGACCCCAGGGACCTTGCAAGGAAAGACAACCAGACATTAGTGTGAAATATTTCAGGTAACTAAGCAAAACCTTACAATGGCAAACATTCCTTGTGGCAGTTTTAACATTTTCTTGTAAATGTATGCTACTTTGCCTCCCTCTGGTGGCACAGTCCAGTACTATCTTTTCATCCAAAAAGTTTTCTATGGATAGGTACATTGGAGCACCAACTTACCATACTTGTCTAACATTGATTTGTATGTTTGTTTAACCAAATATTAAAGTAATTGGAAATATGAAAACAGCTATAGTTCATGTATTCATTCTGAAAAGGATATGGCTGATGATGTAATAGAGTTTCTGCGCCACTGTATTTGCAGTCAGGAGAATTAACCTGGCTCACAGGTCATGATAGCTTTTCTCTTTGAAAGAGCAAAGCTCCAAACTGTCAGTCAGGCTGTTGAGGGGATTACTTGCTATTGACAAGGTCTCTGCGCCCATTGAAAAAAGCCTAAGTGAAGAGAGATGTGATTATGACCAACAAGGTCAAAGATGTTTCCCAGCATTACAGATTTTTAATAATATAAAAACAGTTGTTAAGTTTGTTAATATTTTATTCTGAAACTAATGGGGTGTTACGTTCAGTGGTATAAAGTAACAAATAACAAATACTCAAGCGACTGTAATTAAGTAGATTTTCTCAGGAATTGTAATTTACTAAGTAGTTTTAAAAATGTTTACTTTTACTTTTACTTAAGTACATTTTAGTGATGTATCGGTACTTTTACTCCACAATTTTCTTTCAACCTGCAGTCACTACTTTATTTTTTCTTGTCTATGGGGATTAGAAAAATCAGTCCTGTGATTTCTAATCCGATCAAATCACACATTAATTGTAAATCGCCTCATTATATACTACCTCAAGACATGGGCGATTTTTAATTGCAGCAAACTGTTTGGAAGCATTAACCATTTAATGCACAAGCAATAAAATAAATATAGAAAAAAACTTAAGGCTGCGTCCGAAACCGCCTACTACTCAGTAGGTACTGCATTTGAATTTAAACGTACTACTCGGCTGTTAGAAAAGTACGTTCTATACAGTATGAATGTGAAAAGTATGAATGGAATTCGGACGTACTACATCCGCCATTTTGTCATGGTCACATGACCTACCTGCGTCAGTTGCGTCGCTTTACTTCCATTCATGAATTCGCTCGCGGGGCATCATGGGATAGAGCAGCATGCATGGGATGCGCACTCCGGAATCTCGCCGGAAGTAGTAAGTCATCCGGGTACTTCTCGCATACTGATTTTCGAATTCTATGAATTCGGACATACTACTCGGCTCGCATACTGAATTTGGCGTACTATATAGTATGGAAGTATGCGGTTTCGGACGCAGCCTTAGACTGGTCACTTTGGACCCATGTAGTGCATCAAAGGGTTAAAAGTGTCCAAGGAGATATCTGAAATCTTTACTTGCATTGAACCAGAGACTATTTAAATGCATGTAACTGATGAGAAGATGACGGTTGTCAACATGACGTCAGATTGACGATGTACTCAATGTCGTGGGGACGTTGCATTTTGTTTGGAAATGACAATCGAGTTGACATCAGAACCCAAAGCCAGGCCGACGTCAATGTCCAACCTAAAATCAACCAAATATTAACGTCTAATAGTGTTACTTCTTGACGTTGTGTGGACGTTACCACTATGACGTCTATCAGAGGTTGGATTTCGGTTGCAAAACCTGATGTATAAATGTCAGTATTTGACATTAATATGACGTTGGTTTAAGATGTTAGCTCAACGTTTTAAATTTGGTCACTTTCAAACACAACAATGTCACTTGATGTTGTTATTGGACATCAAAATAACATTGTCCTTAGGCTAGACATTAAATTTTGGTCACCTGACATCACAACTTAAATCTAACCTAATATTATGACATTGTGTGCCTGCTGAGCAATAACTAATTGCACTACAGAATGTTACGTTTACACACATGCACAAATTACATGTAAATGTATCAGCTTTTTACAGCATGATACTCACTAATCACTACTCTTGAGTACTTTTAAAATGGCTACTTTTTTCTACTGCTATTTGGCAACTTAAACTTTTTTTAGTTATTTTTTGTATGATTTTCCTGTGGGCACCAAGGTGGCGCAGTGAATAGCACAATCGCCTCACATCAAGAAGGTCGCTGGTTCGTGCCTCTGCTGGGTCAGTTGGCATTTCTGTGTGGAGTTTGCATGCTCTCTCTGTAATTGTGTGGGTTTCCTCCAGGTGCTCTGGTTTCCTCCACAGTCCGAAGACATGTGCTATATGAATTGAGTAAGCTAAAAATTGTCCATAGAGTATGTGTGTGAATGAGTGTGTATGGATGTTTCCCAGTGATTAGTTGCAGCTGGAAGGGCATCCGCTGCGTAAAACATGTGCTGGATAAGTTGGCGGTTTATTCTGCTGTCTCCGACCCCAGATTAATAAAGGGGCTTAGCCGAAAAGGAAATGAATGAATGAATAATTTCTAGTACTCTTTCAACCACTGGTTACGTTTGACTTTACATTGTCTTTACTTTGACTTTCCTCAAAGGCATTATTCCACAATTACAAGATCAGCTATACTGAGATACAGTGATTTTCATGTCTGGATTTTGCTGCGATATCCAAAGCTACTCAGAGTAGCATCCAAAACATAACATGTGCACATTGTTTTATTACCAAAGTATTTGACAAAAACAGTGCATAATTCAGTTAATCTTTATTTCTATTGCGCTTTCACAATGTAGATTGTGTCAAAGCAGCTTAACATAGACGTTCTAGTAAATTGAAACTGTGTCAGTCCAGTTTTCAGAGTTAAAGTTCAATTCAGTTCAGCATAAGTGTAAATGTAAGGGCCACAGTGCATGTCTAAGGTTAACATATCTCCTTAGAGGATCCTTAACAAATGTAAACAAAGTATAGATCTGCCAAAGCCAATAACGAACGTTAACGAACGTGTTATTGTTCCCGTGCTTAGAGGAGTGTGTATTCAGTATGTGAGTGTGGTTCAGGCTTACCCGTCCCACACGCGGTCAGTCCCCGACAGATGGAAGGTTCTGTGTCCAAGACGCGCCCAAGGAGGGGAGGAGGGGTTTGGGGCTGCTGTGGATTAGATTGGTCTAATAAAAGAGTTGGATCATTGAAAGGCAGATTAGGGGCCTGTGGAGGAGGCTGTTTTTCAAACAAACATGCTTGGGATTTGAAATAGATCGACAATATGTGTAGCATTACACAAACATGAGGCAAAACAGCAAATCAAATTCCAAGCAAACAACTTATGTGACTGGCAATGAGGAAGAGAGATGTGTACAGTCACAGTAAATTGGTCTTCAGTAGCTACATGTCATGCATCTTTGAATAAGCATCTGTTTGCTACCTCCAAGTGCACTCACACCCATGCGTACATTGCTGTAATAAAGATGACCCATCGAGCTCGGAATCAGAGAAGTCGTGTAACTGTATCCTGAGTGTGCACTGGAAAGCTGATCCCCCTCTCAGGCCACTACCACTGGTGCTGGGGGAGGGCTCTGGTTACCCAGCTTTGTGTCAAAGCGCCATCAGCAAAGAGTTAGAGACTGGGGAGAAGGACAAAGGCAGGAGCACTATACAACGGGTGGATTACTGGGACTCTGTAAAGGGTCTCTAGTGTAAGAATACATCCAATATATATCGAGACAGGAGAAAATAACCATAAAAAGAAACATAAGAGGATAGAACAACAGGTGAAAGGAAAGTCGAAAAGGTGTCAAAGTACACTCAAAAGGCTGCACTGTACTTCAAGGAACATTAATATGGCACATGCTGACCTGGCATCTTAGTGGGTACCTTGTGATCTCGGAGTAAAACAAGGTGTCTGTTTAAGGGATACACAAGTTCTGAGGATGTGACTGAAGTAAACTTAGAAGAGGACGAGGAGGAGACAAACTAATCAGATGTCATACTGAAGGACTGAGATGAGTAAGGCTTCAAGAAGAAGTACAACAGTGTGACTCAGTCTTGAGCAGCATCTCTTTAAGAGATCAGTAATCCCACAATCCCCAAGGCAGCCACTGGAGAGGACAAGAGACAGAAAAACGCAGGTAAATTGAGAAGGAAAGGGAATGAGGCAGAGAAAGCGGGTGAAAGAGGCACAGAGGAAAACTAACCATTGGGATCAGGGTGACGTCAGCGGCTCTCTGGATTGAGGTGTTGAGTCCTCCTGATTATAATCTGATCTGATTAGGAAACACAGGGAAAAAATCTCCAGAGCCTCTGCAAACTCTCCAGGGAGCAAGACGTTGTTTTTACTCAGCGGAAAGGCCAAGGACCAGGAACAAAACTAAAAGAGGAACGTAGATGCAGTAAAGGCCTATTTCTGAAAAGAAACATTAAGGAGTCTAGTGAAGTAGACTTTAATTTACTTGTCCAATTAATCAAGTGGCATAGAGGAACCAGCTTTGCAAGTCTGCTGGCTGTTCAGCTTTTTCTCTGGACTTCAACACTCTCTGGCTTGTGGGTTGTAAGCCAGGATGCCCTCCAATGGCAGCAAAGCCCTTAAGCTTCAATTCGGGCTTATTAATCATGAGAATCGCTACCTAACGGCGGAGGCCTTCGGCTTCAAGGTGAACGCTTCAGCTCCAAGCCTCAAGAAGAAGCAGATCTGGACTCTAGAGCAAGACGATCAGGATGGTCAGGTGGTTTACCTTCGTAGTCACCTAGGGCGCTACCTGGCCTCTGACAAAGATGGCAAGGTAAGCTGTGAGGCTGAGACTAAAGAGAATGACTGTCGCTTTTTGATTGTGGCACAGTCAGATGGCCGCTGGGCCCTGCAGTCTGAGCCATATTTGCGCTTTTTCGGAGGTTCAGAAGACTACTTGTCGTGCTTTGCTCAGACCATCGGCGAGGCAGAACTATGGGCCATGCATCTAGCCCTACACCCACAAGCTAATCTGCTTAGTGTGGCCCGCAAACGATATGCCCACTTGGCATCGCCAGAGGGAGAGATTGCTGTAGACTGCAACATCCCATGGGGTGTTGATGCACTTCTAACTCTTGTGTACATGGACGGCAAATATTGTCTTAAGACCAGTGACAGCCGCTTCCTTAGCAATGATGGGAAACTGTCCTCTGAAAATGGACGTGGCACAGGCTACACCTTGGAACTGAAATCAGGCAAATTGGCCTTCAAGGACTGTGAGGGGAAGTACTTGACCCCCATGGGGCCCACTGGAACTCTGCGCTCTGGACGATGCTCCAAACCTGGCAAAGATGAGCTGTTTGATCTTGAGGAAAGCCATCCGCAAGTGGTGTTTCAGGCCGCCAACAACAGATTTGTCTCCATTCGACAGGGTAAGTTGTGCTGGTGTACCACGTGCTTCTGATATCCTCACTTTTCTGCTGTAAAATGTGGGGGATGCAATCTTTATAAAAGCACTGAAGTATATTTCTCCCAAAAATGAAAAATTACTCACCCTCATGTTATTATTTGTCTTTATGATGAAACTTTTCGGGTTCTGCAGTTGTGTATGTGCATATTGACTTTCATTGTGTGGAAAAGAAGAAACTGAAGAAGCAAGTCATAAGGGAATGACTAAATATAGTGAATGCTTAATAATGGGGAACTTTTAAGGGCACTATTCCTCTAAGAAGATTCAGCTATTAATAGATTTGTTCCTATCTCCTGAGGTATCTTGTGTAACAGATGTGAGTCCTCATTACAACTATTAAGTACCTCTAATACCTATTGGGCAACCAGATATAAAAATCTGTATTATTGAGTGCAAGCATGTACATGTCAGTTTTAAAGTAGAAATTCAGTGAAAATGTAAGGAATAATATGATAAACAACTTGACTTTGGTAGTCTGAGCATGCATTTGCACTGTTGTGCCATCAATCTTACTCCCCATTAGAGTTTTAGATGCAAGCATACCAATGCATGAAAATAATGTGCATGCAAAATTGCAGCTGCATGGCAAACTATGCACACATAGTCAAATCTATGGAAACTAGCCTGGGGAGCAGGTGAACACTAAGTCACGCCCATGAGCATGACCTCACTGAAATAATATACGGCAGCTGTCTTTTCAGCTGAGTAGGCCAAAATTAATCTGCCAGACATAGACGATTTTTATTCGCTGGCTTGGTGCTCTTCTAACAAACAAGCTGCATAATTGTAGTTTCCTGTCTTGACTGAGCAACTAAGTTCTGTAATGTAAATCTTGCATGCTGTAACATTATCCATTATCTCCAGCGCGGAGCTCTTGGTAAGCATTTTGAGCCACCTGCAATAGATAAATTACTGGAGAAACTGAATGGCTTTGAATATCCACCATAGGAAGCTGGGTCAGTAACAGATCCAGTCCCCTTCAGTACATTCATCCATCTCTCTCTCTCTCTCTCTTGGCCTTACACTTGTTCCCATTCCCACAGATGCACACATGCTTGCACACATATTTCCAAAGTGATACACTTTTAGGCAATGCTTTTATGTAACAAAACAGAAAGAAGATGCTCTGATATAAAGTATGCACATGTGCGCACGCATGCACACACTAGTGGCGAGGTGTGATAAATAATTGAGTGGACAGGGGCATTTCAATGATGGTGGAGTCTGCTTTCAGAAACACAAGCCTTCCGCCGCATTTCTTTATCTGGGGACTATGCAATGCACTGGGCCACAATGGGGACGCAAATCAGAGAGTCCTTTGGGAGCAGTTGTGTTCTGGCCTGACAGGCAAAAAAAAACCAATAGGGGGAAAAGAGACAATAGAGTGTGAAAGTATACAGCAGAAAAGAAAACAAGACAGACAGAAGGAAAAAAGATCAGGCAAAAAATCACAATGAAAAGAGGCATAATGCATTATGGGTGTGGACATTTGGACGTTATGACTTTTTGGTCATTGTCACTGTTACAAGATGATAAATCAAAGACTTTTACCGGGAGTTCCCTGAGGAGGACATGGTGTCGTATTGTGAGTTTAGTTTACCCATGGGATCGAGCCATTAAACACAGTGAAAAGTGAGTTTGTGGTAGAAAAGCATGTGTGCCAGGAACCAATCGAATGCACATGATTTAATTTTAGCAGTTAAACAGCTGAAAGACAGCTATTACAAATCCTCAGCTAAACTGTAGCAGCCGAAGCCATAGACGAAAGCTTTGGATTGTAATCAAATTTTAGGGGTGAGAAGTTTGAGTTCGTCACACATTATGACTCTTATTGAGCCCTATATGGTGTTTGTCTCTTTCTTCAAATGGTCGTATCAACATATTGGCAAAAAACGAAACCTAGACATTTCATTATGGGTGAAAAAAGACAGGGAAAATGACAGAGGCCAGATGGAACATTTGTTCTTAATGAACGAGAAGCATCTCTCCCCATCTATTGCACATTCATTCTGTGCAAAAAGCAATTAGGTAAAGTGATTCTGCTAATGGATGAAGCAGTTCATTTCTTTTAGAGAGACTCCACATGATGAGGGAACTAGAGATGACTTCAGACAGGACTGCCAATCAGCTCTGCAGGTCTGACGTTCATTAAGCCCCGGGCCTCTCGCCCTGGGATGCAACACAAACTCACAGATGATCTTTTTAATCAATAATGACTAGTGTCAGTTTTTTTTCCCCCTCGGAAATATCTCTATTATTGGCTGAGATATGATGTTTTATTGGTTTGCTTTTGGGTTGTGGTGTATTTTTTCGTGGTAGCATGTTGTGTTGCACACATACTTGAGTCGGAAAGATGGCATGCACTCAGACGGGTGGATCTGTTACCATGTTCTTCATCACCTCCACAATGTTCCCCGGAGCATTCTAATCCGGCCCGGAAGGTGAAAATGAGACGAGCCCTAAGGAAAAGATAATGAGAAAGAAAGACAAGAGAGAAAGAAAGAAAGACAAGCAAGCAAGAGGCTAATAAAACGAGAGACAGTGGAATTGTGGTATCACTTTACCATTAAAAATTCATCTTAGAGTGACTGACTTGGTACATTTGACTTTTGCAAAAAACAGATAATGCTGTTTTTATTCATTGTCATAAATCATGTTTTTAGTGTGCATTGAAGAGTTCATTTGCCGAAAACATAATAAGATCTCACCTAATTCAGAGATTTAAGTTCAGATTTCTAGAAATACCTATATACACTTACATCATAAGGTACACCTGTCCAACTGCTCATTACTGCACATGGCAGCAACTAAATTTGGCCATGTAGACATGGTCAAGACGATCGGCTACAAAATAGGGAAGTAAGGTGATTTAAGTGTCTTTGAATGTGTCATGTTTGTTGGTGCCAGATGGGCTGGTCTGAGTATTTTAGAAACTGATGATCGACTGGGATTTTCGGGCACAACCATCTTTAGGGTTTACAGAGAATGGTCAGAAAGAGAAAATATCCAGTGAGCGGCAGTTCTGTGGGCGCAAATGCCTTGTTGATGCCAGAGGTCAGAGGAGAATGGCCAGACTGGTTCAAGCTGAAAGAGAGGCAACTAAATAACTAAGTAACTTAAATAATAACGTTACAACTGAGGTATGCAGAAGAGCATCTTTAAATGCACAACATGTTGAACCTTGAGACAGATGGGCTACAGCAGCAGAAGACACATCGGGTGCCACTCCTGTCAGCTAAGAACAGAAAACTGAGGCTACAATTCACACAGGCTCACCAAAATTGGACACTAGAAGATTGGAAAAACGTCGCCTGGTCTGATGAGTCTGAATTTCTGCTGCGACATACGGATAGTAGGGTTAGAATTTGGCATCAGCAACATGAAAGTATGGATCCATCCTGCCTTGTATCAACAGTTCATACTGGTGGTGGTGGTGTAAATGTGTGGGGGATATTTTCTTTGCACACTTTGGGCCCATTAGTACTAATTGAGCATCGTGTCTACGCCACAGCCTACCTGAGTATTGTTGCTGATCATATCCATCCCTTTATGACCACAGTGTACCCATCTTCTAATTTCTACTTCCAGCAGGATAACACGCCATGTCATAAAGCACGAATCATCTCAGACTGGTTTCTTGAACATGACAATGAGTTCACTGTACTCAAATGGCCTCCACAGTCACCAGAACTCAATCCAAAAGAGCACCTTTGGGATGTGGTGGAACGAAAGATTCACATCATGGATTTGCAGTCGTCAAATCTGCAGCAACTGCGTGATGCTATCATGTCAATATGGCCTAAAATCTCTGAGGAATATTTGTAGTACCTTGATGAATCTATGCCATGAATGATTAAGGCAGTTGTGAAGGCAAAAGGGGGTCCAACCTGGTAATAGTAAGGTGTACCTAATAAAGTGGCTGTTGATATAACAAGTCCAAAAAATATGGAATCATTAGTGAAAATGCTTTTATGTCAGACCTGATTCACTGACGTCAGCACTTTTTTTTAATTGTAGCCTCAGACATTTCATCTAAACTGTAATTTCCATGCATGCTCAACCAAAAGCATATGCATTCTGCAGCCACCTTGTTTTCTCCCATGCACCTTTGTGTTCCCCGATAGGTATTTGACATAGTACGCATACAGTGATCTGCTTGCCCCAGTTTTGAGAAGGCCCTCTCCCTGTCTCTGGGTACTGTTACATTCCACAGAAATGGGTTGGTAAATTGAGAGGGAGCATTCTGTGATGGGAGTGAGGTCATTCGCAGGAGTTCACGATTGAGCTCAGTAATCACAATGCCGTGGATGAGGAATGATCAACAGAGGAGATAGAGTGTCCTGCCCCAGCTGGCCTCTCTTCTTCTATCTTTGGTGCAAAACTAAAGCAGAGTCAGACGTGAAATTGGAAAATAAAGTGTAACGGGCCGCAGAAATGAAAACCGCTGCCGCAGAGTGATGTCTGATCGGAGAAAGAGAAACATCTGAAGCTATTTCTTTGATTTGGTCTTGATGACCAAATGTTTTTTTGGTGACCACCGAAAGCAGTGCTGTGCGTTCTCATTAATGTCTTAATCCTGCATACCACATGTTTGTATCACTTAGGAATCGGATTATTTGATTAAATTCCCATGCAGGACCAGAAAGTGTCTATTGATAGGCCAAGATGATTTGTAAGAATGTCCATGGCGTGTGAGGGAAAGCGACAGGCGGTGGGAGAAACGCAAGTAGCCTAAATCATATGGCTAAAAAAGCATTCCACGGTGGAGTGATCGATGGCCACAGATTCTGCTGATAGGCCTGGTTTCTTTCCCAGCATGTCTCTGGCACCCTGCAGTCCCGCCGAAACAATGGTATTACTTCAGGTTCCCGACTGGTTTTCCTCGAAGCTGGAGGATTGTACATACGCTGCTCAAAAAAAGCTGCTTACTGGACCCTACGGTGCAGCTTTGTGAATCTTTGC